TCGTCTGTTTAATCATTTATTGATTAAGGGGAAGATGATCAAGACAGAATTAAAAAGTAATAATGGATACAAGAACAACTATAATACTAAACGTTTTTTCTCTTGAGTCAGCCCAGTGGGTCTCCTGTAGATAAAGCAGTCTTCAGTAAGTAAAATTTTTCCTTTGACTTCAAAGTTGACTTGATCAAAACAGATCTTTAATCAAAACAGTCTTTAATGATCATTTTAGACTCACAACTCAAAGAGTGAACTGCAACTGTAATGAACCGACTTCAAATCGATATAAACCCCTGACTTATGAGTTAAAACAGGAGCATATCTGTTCATACATGTAATAGAAGCTCAATGGGCCCAGCCTGGCATCAACAATTCTTGCGACCCCTCAGTGGGTCTGTTGGGTGGCTTTAAAGCAGCAAATAAACATTGTTTTTGCATGACGGTCTTGTAGTAGTGGTGGGAGTCGTAGGGTAACTCACCAAACAGGACACATGGCCCACAATAACAATTTTTACCAGGATAGATATATTGCTGTATCTTTATTTTGTCCTACCTGACCTGATGGACAATCTCTCTTTTGAAAGAACAATTGTTCTTTTGTGTTCAAATTCTGTGAAATGTTTTTAAAAGGGGAGTGGCAGCAGCTGTGTGCGATGGCCTTACCTGTTGGTACTGAGAATATTTTATAGGATCCTTTTCAAACACTTCATACGTTTGAGACTCCAAGTTGTCCATGAGTGGCTGAACGGAGGAAGGACAAACATACCTTCAGTCTTCCATCAACAAAAAGGACAACAATCACACACGTGCTCATATATTTAAGGTACTTCAACACAAATGAGACTTCCTCACCTGGAGGGGAGACTGCAGGTAGTCTTCGTAACCCTTGGCAAAGAGCTCGTAGGCGTTGGGTGCAGGACGGTTCTGGTTGAGGTATTCCAGGTACTGCAGATAGGATCGGAAGTCCTTCTCAGTGTGGCGACTGGTTCCAGTGAAGATGAACTGGGCCTCCAACTGAGAAAAGAGATTTGTATTGAAGCACTTTCTCATTTGGCAGGTGATTTATTATGGTTGAATCTACTGGATTGTACCTTGAAGAGAGAGAAGATGATTCGCTGATGGGCTTTTGACAACACAGGGAAGCCCTTCTTATTGGTGAGAAAGATGCTGGTGGGAAGTACAGCTGCTTTGATAGGTTCCCCGAGCCACTTATCGATCACAGCTTCTGATGGCATGTCAGCTCCAACTTCAATAGCTTCAGGAATACAAACAGAAAGCACGTTTTCAGAGGAGGACTACACCATAATTATTTCTTAATGCACTGACTTTGCCACAGGCTGTTCCTTCACAGTGTGTCCTCTCACCGAGACAGATCCTCTTGTTGTAATCACAAAGGGTTCTCAATGAGTGCCACCTAAAAGACCAGAGGCGAGTAAACACGATGCATCAGGATTTAAAAGGAAATCAATAAGAGCTGTTTTAGCATGCAGACAGCACTCGGCTGCTCGGGAAGTGGACTGTGTGAAACTAACCAGCTCCAGGTCTTCTCCTCCACACTTGTATCGTCAATGCAAGTGTGCGGTTCGTTCTCAATTAGATCCTCGCGCATGTCCTCTGGAGCCATCAGCGGGACACGAATCCAGAACTAATCACACACGGAGGAAAACAGAAGTCAGCTCTTTGTCTGGCTTCTCTGCTTTATAACACAAACATCTACATGTTCATGCTGAACTCTTTAATTCAGTTCTTCTTACATTTGAGGTGTGGTGTCCAGTGTGGATGTGGTTTAGCAGCAGGCGAGCAAGATTGGCATTATGAGGGCCCTTTATAGGGATCATAAAGACAGGCAGACCCAGGTAGGCTGAGAAGTTTAACTCCTGTACCAGAGCCTGGAGAGAGAGAGAGACGGGGACAATAATGAAGGAGGTCAGAGAGCGAGAGAATTAACTATATACAGTATATCCACAGATGCCAAATGATTTTGGATCAAAAAATCCTTGACAGCAACAAAATCAGCAAAGGTGAAAAAAGAAACCAAACTGCAGGACATACCGCCTCTGAGTTTCTGCGTTCTGTCTCGATTTCTGAATCTGCGTCGATCCATGGAGAGAGCTTCCCGACAATAAGAGTATTCCAATCTATTCAACACATAATGGATAGAGAAAAAAAATAACTAAAAAGATGTCAGACCAGGGAGTCACTGAAGCTCTCAATGACAACATGCTCGTGTTTTATTGTGTGACTTCAATTTTGATATTAAGGGTGAGGGAGACAGACAGAATCTTTAATGAAATGCTTCGAGTCAGTGGTATCACAGTGAAACCACTGACTCGCTTAGTGCTGGTCTAGAGATCTGGTGTCACAGAAGAAAAATCAAAAATGCATCATAACAAATAAACCACAATTACTACTCCTTCACTACCTTGATTTCTAAGATTTGTCAACCAACTGCTATCTACTATGATTTTTTTTAACTAATCTATTGTACTGTCTCTTGTCTGTTTCCTGTATATTAAATTTATATAAATAGTTTGATCTTTTGACTGAGCTTTGTGGCTTTATAGCTCCCATTTCTGTATTCTAATTGTAGGACATTTAATCCCTGTCATGACCTAGATGAAATGAGGCAGGACTGTGTAAAACTAGGGGAACGATTGGGGGGGATAGAGTTGACCATTTATCCTTGAAAAAGTCAGTGCTCTTTAATTTAAAATTTGGGATATAAATGTAAATAACTGCGTGGTTTCGACAAACCAAGACAACTTATTTGGGGGAAAAAAATAACTTGAACATAAAAGTACGACCAGTCCCTTAAAAGTTATATTTCAAGTGCAGTAATGGAAAGTGTTTGACAATGACAGCGCACAATTAAAACTGTACAATTGTCAGTAATGAAGGAAGTATTCAAATCAATTAGGAGCTCATTTCTATTACTTTATTTTGCGTGGATGCTCGACCAGTTGTACAATATCTTTAATTTAATAGTGTCACAGGGCCCTATACGTGCAGCATCCTGGGGTACAGTAACAGTAAATGAATAGTATCTTATTTCTGTGAGAGGGGAGAAACACTGACCTCTTCCACACAACAGCAGGTCTGATCGGGTCTGGGCACCGGCTCTGGTTTTAGCGGGCTCCGACACAAACTCTCTCCTGAACCTCGAGTGGAACAGGGGCATGCAGAGGAAGTCAAACCTGCAAGACAGAGGACAAAAAAACCCACATGATTTAAACAAAATATATCCGTTTAGTTTATAATGTTTAACAGAGGTGGTATTTGTTCTCTAGACAGACACGAGTTTGAACAAGCAGGCTGTATAAAGTGTTACAAACCAGAGTCAAGCATCACTGTGATTGTGCACGTGTTGGTAATTTACAGGCTAGCTTAGCATCAAGCAGGCACTATGCTAGTAGACCCACTCACTGACAGTATGACAGAAAACCAGCTCATTTCTAATAACAAAACGACTTCCAGAGTGCAGCACTCTCCTCACCCTAGTTTGGCGACCGCGGCTAACGTATCTGCTACCTCCGACACACAATTCAAATCTCTCCCGCAGGACACTCTGCTCCCCGTACTGCCGGACGCCATGGTTTTAGCCGACTGAATGGATCGTCTCGTTGCTCCCGAGGAAACTGACGCCATATTGGATCTGCAACGACATACGAGCTCATTGGGCGACAAAGCTGTTTAGAGCCAAAATGGCTCTGCGAGTAGCTCAGTTCCACATGGCGTGAGTTACCGCGATAGCTAAGAACCTTCGGTCCCCAGTTTATGAATATTCAGCTCAACAGGTTGATTGATATTAGTTGATTGAAATAAATAATTAAATAATGCATCAATAAATATATGAATAAATATGTAAATGCTGAAAACAATACATCAATGAATAAATAATGAATACACTTTGTTAATGAAAAAGGGTATTCATATATTTTTACATGTATTTATTCATTTATTAGTGTATTTCTACAGTTATATATGTATCAATGCATACATTTACACATTAATTGAGTTATTAATTTATTTCCGTATTTTTACATTTACACATCTATTTATTTCTGAGTCCAGGTTGTAAGAGGAAAAGTATATATGTAAATTATATATATGCATTTATTTATTTATACTTTAGTCATTTTTTGTCCCTCATATTCTGAAGGAATAGTCATAAATAAATCTTTTGTCCACTTGTTTTGAAAAACATCTAATTGTTATGCACTCAGTTAAACTTTACTTCACTGATCCTCAATATTTAATCCTCATGTAATTTCCTATTTAGGCTATTTGCAATGTGACAACACAACATTCAAATATTTGTTATTACAGATAAGTTCACTGAAAGCCCAGTTTATTTTGGACACTTTTTGTCATGCATCTTTTTGTCTCATTGATGATATTTCACAGTTTGGAAAACTGGTTCACAGAAAATCACTAATGTTGTTGCTGCTTGTAGCTTTCCTCTGAAATCAAACCGAAATCACATCGAAAGATATAGTTTACAATTTCAGTCAGTTACCAAGATAACTTGGACACTCAGCAGTAATGAAGTTTGCAGATAGTGGCTTCTCTAGTTATTACTTTCACAGCAGAAAGAGGATACTTGATGGCTTTGGCTGTGCTTGTGTGTTTCTGCAAGGTGTCATATTTGGGAAGGCTATAAAAGCGGTGTCTTGGTGTTTTAGACAGACCAGTGAATTCAACATTGAAATACATGCCGCAGTCATACATATACCCTGTGGATATTACTTCGTTTGGCCATGGCTTTGGAAGATATTTGTGGTTTCACAGACACCCCTGTGCATGCCAAGTGGTTTCCTACCTCTCTTTTTGAAGATTCAATCTCATCTATTCATTTAACAGACAATTGCACCTTTGGATTGAGGAAACCAAAGAAATCTGAGGGAAATGGTGGGATCCCTATGGATTTTTTTATTCCAACTTTACCTAACTCTGCATCTTTCAACCACAGGCCTTTACCTTCTCCACCAGCAAAATATTCAGCGATGGTCCGTAGGCCTTTTCCACTGTCTCACGGAACAACTACCCTTGGATTTGTCTTCCAAGGTGGGGTCATCGCAGCTGCAGACACACGTGCCAGTGCTGGGAAGGCTTGTTGCATGCCCAGCTGTTCATAAGATAACTCCAATTCATTCCCATTTAGTGGTCACCTCCTCTGGGAGTGGTGCAGACTGCATGCTGTGGGAGAGAATTCTGGCCAGAGAGATCAGACTCTACCAACTGCGGCACAGACGTCGCCTTTCAATATGTGGGACTGCTAAACTCCTATCCTTTATGCTGCATCCCTTTAAAGGAACTGAAGTGTGTGTTGCTCTTACACTGTGTGGCTGGGATAAGGGAGTTACTGCATCCACTAACAGTGGTCCAAAGTTAATATACGTGTGCAGTGATGGAGCACGACTGCAGGGGGATGTCTTTTCTGTGGGTTCAGGTTCTCCTTATGCTTATGGAGTCCTGGATAGAGAGCTGAGGTGGTGTCTAAGTAAAGAAGAGGCCATCTCTTTGGCAAGAGAAGCAGTTTTCAGAGCCACTCACAGGGATGCATACTCAGGGAACAACGTGGACCTCTTCCACATCACAGCTCAGGGATGGAGCCGAAGAGCGAGAGAGGATCTAAAAGAGGAATATTATAGAGACATGAAAAGGAGAGAGAAGGTAGCAGAGGAAAGAAAAAGACTGATCAAATAAGCTGCTTCAGGATAATGAGGAAACGTGGTGCTTATAGGGGGCGATATAGAAATAATGTAGAATCAGATCATTGTTTGAGTTTATTTAGCCTACTTTTAATAGCTTTCTAGAATAGTGTTAGGATCATAATTCCTTAATAGACATATAAATTCAAATTGTTGTAATCCTGAGCCGTTATTTCAGTTTGTGAAAGTAAAAGTTTGTATCACCTTTTATCAATGTCTACACCATAGACTGTAAATATACACCACTACACTACAGTCCGCCACGACCACAGGGGGCGCTGTTGGGGTTTGACTCAATCATTTTGTCCTTAAACGGCGGAAGTTGCTTGATCATCCTCAGACAGTTTCAAAGATGGCTCTTGCTAGTGTGTTAAACAGTGATTGTGCGGATTTTTCTTTTGACAAATGTCAGCCTTTTGGTTTTCGATGTGGGCCCGGACAGAGCGGGTCGGGCTTCGACTCTACGCCGGGAGACGGGCTCAGTTTCTCGGTTAAAAACCCGCTGTTAGCCGGGGACGACGACGGTGTGGAGAGGAAAATAGAGTTTCTGCATGGAACCACCACCTTAGCATTCAAAGTACGTATTTTGAGTGTGTTTTTCTATATGCCTGGCAACTCAAAGCAAAACAATGTGTAATAATGTCTAAATTGGCAAATAGTTTGGACCTTAAACTCTTAACGGCACAAACGTACCGTCTCCAGCGTTAGCATGCTAGCTTTAGCATGCTAACGTGGCTACAAAGCGCTTTCTCATTGTAATGTACACATGACAGACATTTAACAAAGCTTTGAGTTTTGTCTTAAAAAATAAATCTAAACATGGCTTAAATCCGGTTCTAGTTGGATATATGTACTATTATCGCACAGGTGCTCTATTTTTGTGTTGTTTATAAAAACCTTTCATGTAAAGAGCTGTCAGTTTTTGCATGTCTAGGAAGGTAAAGGGAGTGATGCATATTAGAATAGAATAGATGTTTATTGCCTTTTGCAACAGGTACAGGACAGTACAGGTACATGTGCGTTTCTCCCTGAGTCAGCTTCTACAAAAAAAAGTTAATTATATATAATATAGAATAACATTATAAGAAAAAAAGATTAGAAAAGTACAAAACAAGTTGTAGTAACAGCTGAACGATTTAAAATAAACTGTACACTATATTAAAGCAAAGATGTAATACAAAGGGGAACACTGCACAATGAAATGAAAATATAAATATGTTTTCTTGTCTCTAACTTTCTACATCTCTTATTGCACCTGAGGTTATTGCACACACTTTTCACATTGTATAATTGCACTGTTTTTTGTTTTTAAGGTTAATATTGCACACTTATTTGACACTATTAGTGAGATGTTGTGTACTTTATCTTTTATATGAAGGCAAAACCAGTTGGAATTATTTATTAACTCTAGTAACTATTCATACTATTGTTCTTTGATTGTACACCTTTGGTTCATGTAACGTGTCTAATGTTGGTCAATACATTCAGTGTTGATGTGTCACGGTTTGCTTTTGCAATGAGTTAACAACCAGTTTATTCCGGGATCTAAATGAATTACATTTACACATTAATTATTTGCCCATGTACTATTAAAAACTTCCTGTGATTGAGTTGACCTCATAACAAATCAACAACTGTTGTGACAATCGTTTTTGAAATAAAGAGGTGGCACTCCTAAAGCCCTAATTTATCATGTCAACAAAGATTGAATTGAGTTTTTAATGGTCAAGACAGCTTATTTGTGTCACTAAGATTTAAAATCAACCTTAAACCGGAATGAAGTGTCATTACATTCAACTTAGATAAAGGATGGATAACACTATTTTGCTATTCTCAGCAAGCCAACAATAAATTCATGCTACTAACAAGATTGTGTAAAGCCTGATATAAGATCTCCTTCTGTGCCTGGGAACCCCACTGGGTCCAAAACTATTAAAAACACATAAAGGAGAACTATGTGTTTGGATGACATTTCATTTTATTACAGTGAGAACAGTGTAGCGTTTTCCTCTGGCAGCGCAGAGTAAATACTGAGCAAGATCCCTGTAGTTGATGTTTGTCTCTTCAGGGGATTTGTTGATGAAAAGCAAAGATAAAATAACACCATCTTTATCCCTTAATCCCAGAGAGTGTTAGATGAAACCCTCCTCAGCAGACATCTCTTTCTTGCTGGCCGTTTCTGTTGTTTTTACTTCAGCGCTATACTGTTATGCCTGTCAGTTTAGTAACACAGAGCTTTTTGAGGAAATACGCAGCTTTATGACAGAGCTGAATAATATATATTTTCTCTCTGACAGCTGAAGAGCAAAAGCACATTTTTGCTTTGTCTGAACAGATATAAGAGGGTTTTAGAGACATATTGCTGTGTACATAGTGCTCACAGATTTATCAGTGTTTGTGCTTCTCTTACACATACTTCACCTGCTGTTGCCTCTTTCAGTTCCAGCATGGTGTCATTGTGGCGGTGGACTCTCGGGCGACAGCTGGCTCCTACATCGCCTCACAGACAGTGAAGAAGGTGATCGAGATCAATCCCTACCTGCTGGGTACCATGGCTGGAGGAGCCGCAGACTGCAGCTTCTGGGAGCGCCTGCTGGCCCGCCAGTGCCGCATCTATGAGCTTCGTAATAAGGAGCGCATCTCTGTGGCAGCAGCCTCCAAACTGCTTGCTAACATGGTGTACCAGTACAAGGGCATGGGACTCAGCATGGGAACCATGGTGTGTGGCTGGGACAAGAGAGGTCCAGGTAAAAATAATAGAAAATCATGAAATGCATATATGGCCTATTTGAGTTTATGATATAACTAGTTAAACAACTACAGCTGGTAACAGGTTGACCAATTTATGGTTTTGTATAGAGTTAAGGATCCACTTCAATAATTTCCACATAGACATGTTTTAGAGGCTGTATTTAATTTTTAAATGTTATATTGTGACTTATTTATTTTTTTAAAGATTTATTTTTGGCCTTTTTGTGCCTTAAATGTACAGATAGGACAGTGTATAGAGTTGGAAATCAGGGAGAGAGAGTAGGGTATTACATGGAGGACCATAGCCTCCATACATGGGGTGTGTGCACTAACCACTGCACAACCAGCGCCCCATATTGTGACTTTTAATAGGATAAAAGACGATATAATAAAATATGTATAAACATATCAGAACGCTGATAAACAATGAAAAGTCTTACCGACTAGAATTTTTCGAAGATAACTTTTATGCTCTTGAAAAAAAAATTAGATTTTGATCAGACCTCAAGCATGTAGTTTGGTCAATGCTTAACATTTTTGTTGGCGCATGTGATAGGACAGCCGAACAGAGACAGGAAGTGTTGGTAGGAGAAAGTGGGGGAAGACATGCAGCAAAGGGCGGAAGTCAGATTCAAACCATGGCTGTTACAATGACTACAGCGTGTTGTAGCAGCTGGCCAAGAGAATTGAAGCCCGCCTCAGATTCAACCCTTTGTCTGTTAGGTTGAACAAAAGTTTGATGGTCAACATTTCCATAATGGCATCCACCATGTATGAGCTTTCAAGACAGTGGGTCAGAAACCAATGGGTGATGTCACTTTGACTTTGCCCATGTTTATAGACAGTATGGGTGGGAATTGCCAGAGGCCCTACTAAATGACATTATCACGATACCTGAGTCACTATACGATATTATTGCGATTCTAAACATTTTGGGATATGCTGAGAATTGCAATACAATATATTGCGATTTAACTTTTTAACTGCATATTATGGCCACAAAATTAAAGTAATCAAGAACTGTTTTGTCAAATAAGAAAACCTTCTTAGTCTATTCATCTCAGTCTTTATATTTCTATACAATGTGAGTCAAGCCCCCAGACTGACCAACACTGTGATAAAAGTAAAACCCTGCAAAAGGCTGCATGCATCTCACAATCTGAACTGTTGGTATTTCAGTCTAATTGAACTGGACACAAACACGTATGGAAGACTGCAGTAATTTTTAACAATGCAACTTGTTCAAGATGAATTATGCAACCCCTTCAGCAATTAAAAAAAAAAACACATTTTCTATTAATATAATAAAAATATGCTTACATGGCGCCATGAATCGATACAATATCACGATCCAAAATATTGTGATACTATGCTGCATTGATTCTTTCCCCTAACTCTTATATACAGTCTATGAAGTGATCACTAATATAATTTGTCTCTGAGGCAAAAGTGTGCATGCATTATCTGCCCAATTGAGGCATGTGGTTTGTGTTTTTCCATTTTAAATTTTGTTTAAGCTCAACAATGTGCATAATAAACAGCTCTGTTATGTTTGAAGCTTTTAATGGTGTTAAATCTGGTAATTTAGTTGCAAACAAGAAGCTTATATGATGGCAGTCATCACTTCCAAAACTGAGAGCTAAACTGTTCAACCAAAGTCCAAACTTTAGTCATCTGTCTTGAATCATTTTAAAGTTTTGTCTTGTTTCCTTCTGTTCTTCATTGTTTTTCATCCAGATCCGTCTATTCATGTTGCTTTTTTAGAATTTGTTCTGTTTCATTGAGTTAGACACACATTTGTAGTTTCCAGAGATCCCCACTAGATGGCACTGCAGCCTTTCTCTTGTTCTGCCCCTCACTGTACTTAAAGCTGTGAGTTTTTGATGCCTCGCAGTGTGAGGCCATACATCACAGAACGTGTGCTTAAGGAGGCTGCCACAGTGACACAGTAATGGGAAATCGATGAGGCTGGGAGTGCGGGCCAGAGAAAGTGCGGCTGGATGATGGACGTTGGGTCTCAGCCCTGGACAATTGGGTCGCATGCATAATGCCCATGCACCTGCTGAGATCGATGCTGGCTTTGTCTGGAAAGCGCACAGGGCTGTGTGAACAACAACAGCCCGGCCGTTATGTCAACAAACCTAAATGACACGTGTTAAATCTCGAGCAATCAATTGGGGAAATAATGATCCCTTTATAAGTTCAATAGGTGTGGGAGCTTTGCCATGGCCCTCAATGCTGATG